GGTGAGGTCCCTGGGCGCCTGAGCGAAAAGAGACAAAGACACCAGGGTGGAGGGCTGCCCTCGCCCCTGCCCCTCCTCTCCTCTGTCCAACCTCGAGGCCGCCTCACCCTCCCGACTGGCCCCGTACTGCTTGAGGATAAATGATTGTAATGACCACTTTCACAGCGCTGGCGGTTTGCACCCGGTTCCGCTCTACAGAGGCAGCCCTGTGAGGCACCCGCTGGTTGACCCCACCCCATCCCAGATGGGGCAAATCGAGGCCCAGAGAAGTTAGGAAATCGTTCTATCGGTATAGCAGTAAGCTGTTTACTGAATGCTTACTGTACACCAGGCCCTTAACAGACACTTGGACCCCTGGGGTACACTTTAATTATTACTTAAAGTAAAAAAAAAAAAAAAAAAAGAGGCCGGGGAGATGGCTCAGTCTGTAAAGGGCTTGTGCTACAAACATAAGGACCCGAGTTTGAATCCCCAGCACCCATATAAAAAGCCAGCCGTAGTGTCATATTTAACCCCAGCCCTGGGTAGAGGAGGAGTGGACGAACCCTGATCCTCACCTAGTAGGCAAGTAGAAGCCGAGGAGAGACTCTGCCTCAAAGCATAAGGTAAAACTGGGGGTGGCTGTGTACATCTGCAATCTCAGTCCCTTGTGAGACAGAGGCAGAGAGATTCCATGAGTTCCAGGCCAGCCAGGGCTACATAGTGAGACCCTCCTTCAAAAAACAAAACCAAAGTGCACAGCTCGTAGGACACATGAGCATGCATACTGGCATCCCACAGGCACACATGGGAAAAATAAGAAAAGGAGAAGAAATGGAAGGGCTCACCTGGATACGGCCGGAGGGCATCCACTGAGCACACACAGTGTGCAGCCTGCTCTGCTCCACGAAGCCCTCCCGGGTCCATCCACTGAGCACACACAGTGTGCAGCCTGCTCTGCTCCCACGAAGCCCTCCACCTGCTCCCAATCCCCTGTTTTTATTCCTGCTAGTCACAATGTTTTTCCCAAACTGACTCCTGTTTTCTCAGACTCAACCTCAACCCATGTTTTCAGTTTCCTTGTGGGAATGGCAGGCTCCCCAGGCCTGGTAGCCACACACAGCAAGGAATCCAGGCACGGTAGTGAGCAGCTCTTGGGTAAATGAGGTAGGAGAGTTGTTGTGAGTTTCAATATATCCTGAGCTGCAGAGTGACACCTTGACTCAAATCAAAACCCCAAATATTTGGTGTGGTAGTCCAAGCCTGTCATGCCCACACTCCGGAAGACAAGGCAGTATTGTGAGTTCCAGGCTAGTCTGGCTACATAGTCTTAGGTCAGCCTGACCTGAAGAGTTGGAGTTTGCCTCAAAAACAAACAAATGAAGGAATGCTCACCTTTGACTGCATTATTAGGGAGGCAGAGGCAGGTGGATCTCTGAGTTTGAGGCCAGCCTAGACTGCAGAGTGACTTCCAGTACAGCTAGGAATACACAGAGAAACCCTGTCTCAAAAACAAAAGAGAAACCAACAATGACAGAGAAGATGGTAAAAGTGGCCCATGCAGACTCAAGGGCATCGCCATCCACTGATGTCTATGGATAGGGGCCAGTACAGTAGGGGCAGCCCTTGGCCACAGCACCTGGGCCACACGGCACAGGTGAGCCCCTCTCAGTTGTGAAGATGCTCCAGCTCCAGAAGCTGAGGGCAGAGAAACCCAAAGGGGAACACAGATACCTAAACAAGATCTGGGCCTCAGTTTTCCTGTCAGTAGGGGAGGAGCTTGGGTGACCTCTTAGGAATTCTAGTGTTGAAAGAAGGCCCCTAACTGACGGTCCTGGGAGGAAGCTGTGGCAACCCACTGTGGCCTGTAAGGGATGAGCAGGGAGGAGGCACTTTGGGTCTTCCAGGGTGAGATCTCCACGTGGAGATGGGGAAGGTGGACTCTGGGGGATGTACGGCCTAGTCTGGATGTCACAACAACCAGGAGTCTGAAACAGGAGGGTCAAAGTTCATAAGCCCCCAGGATGCAGAGGCATGCATACCTCTGTGAGTTCTGGGCCAGCCTGGTCTACATGAGACCCTGTCCCAAAATAGAGAAAAAAAATAGACAGGTCTCAGAGGTCCACTCAGCCCTCATCAGGACATGACAAGTTGTGGCTCCAGAGCCTGATATCAGACAGCGCGAGACAGAGCATCACCAGGAATTCTCCCTGAAGCGCAGAAGATGCTGGTGGCTCAGGGTCCTGAGACCAAGCAGGACTAGGGTGAGGGAGAACTTCAGATGATGCCATTGCTCTGAACCAGCACTGGGTCCAAAGTCATTCCAGCCGTTGTGTTGTGTAAGAAGTCTGAGAACAGAGAGGCAAGTCCCGGAACCCCTTGGACCTCTGCCAGCAAAGCTTCATTTCAAAACAAAACCACACAACCTTTTTTTTTTTTTTCCCAGTCTGCCAGGAGAAAAACAAAAAACAAAATAAATAAATAAAATAAAAAACATTCTTCATGTCTTCATGTGGTTCATTCTTTTAACTTAATTTAATTAATTCACTTCTTTATTTATGAGCTGTTGAGATGACTCAGTGGGGAAAGACACTTGCCACTAAACCCAAAAACCTGGTTCACTACCAGGGACAGAACTGACTTCTGAGAAATGTCCTCTTACCCACACACACACACACACACACACACACACACACACACACAGAGAGAGAGAGAGAGAGAGAGAGAGAGAGAGAGAGAGAGAGATGCATGTAAGAAAGAATTCATTAATTTTTCTAGTTCTGGGGTGGAAGCCAGGTCCTCACGCGTGCTGGACAAACATTCCACCATGCCCACCATTTGCTATATCCCAGCATATAGCTAATGGTTGAGACTATTTTATAATAAATGAGTACATTTGCCTTGCGACCCCAGTACTCAGGAAGTGGAGGCAGGAGGATGGATGTGAGTTCTGGGTTAGCCTGGAATTTAATAAAGGGGGGTGGTAGGAAGGGAAGGGATCTAGGAGACCCTCAGTGGATAAAGTGCTTGTGACACAAGAGAGAGAGAGCTGGAGTTCTGGTCCCCAGAACCCTGGCCCCCCATACCTGGCGAGAAGCCCCACAGTGGATACAACTTGCACCCCAAGCATGTGGGAGGAGGGCCAGGCAAAGACAGAGGTCACCCCCAGCCCCTCAACAACTAGTAAGCTAGTGAGTTGGCTTACTGAAGCCATGGGGAGAGCTCCTGCCTCAGTGTTTACCGTAGAGAGTCACTGAGGAAAATGTCTTGTCAGCCTCAGACCTCTATATGTTCGTGTGTCTACACATATGCCTGTGCAAAATAAATAAAATTTTTGTATAGAGAGAAATGATCAGAAAATAAGTTAAATTTATTTTAAAAAGAAAAAGAGAGAAAAGAATAGAAATTATTCCAGTATGATGGCCGGGCGTTGGTGGCGCACGCCTTTAATCCCAGCACTCGGGAGGCAGAGACAGGTGGATCTCTGCGGGTTTGAGGCCAGCCTGGTCTCCAGAGCGAGTGCCAGGATAGGCTCCAGAGCTACACAGAGAAACCCTGTCTCGAAAAAACAAAAAAAACAAAAAAAAAAGAAAGAAAGAAAGAAAAGAAATTATTCAAGTATGAAAGTGCACACACTTGGGGATGGGAGCTGGAGAGATGGCTCAGGGGTAAAGAGCACTGCCTGTTCTTCCAGAGGTCCTGAGTTCTATTCCCAGCAACCACATGGCGGCTCACAACCATCTGTAATGTAGTCTGGTGCCCTCTTCTGGCATACAGGGACAAATGCAGGCTGAACACTGTATACATAATAAACAAATAAATCCTAAAAAAAAAGAAAGTGCACACTTGTCATCCCAGCATGCAGGAGGCTGAGGCAGGAGGATCAGGAGTTCAAGGTCATCCTTAGCTATGTGGTGAGTTCAGGGCCAGCCTGGGATACATGAGACCCTGATTAAAATGGACGGACACACACACACACACACACACACACACACACACAGAGAGAGAGAGAGAGAGAGAGAGAGAGAGAGAGAGAGACAACCTCATTAAGGAGAAAACCCAGGCAGGACATAATCAGTCAGGTCACAGGGCTCACTGGTGGCTGTCACTCAAGGCCTCTTCCTGGACCCTCAGTGTGCAGTGGGTGGCAGCTGCTTTCCCATGCCTCCAGAGAGACCCCTGCATCCTGCCTCGCTGCAAACTCTCCTGGGCCCCCAAACTGGAAGGAGGAAGTAGGACACCCAGCCCAGCCTTCAGCCACTGTTCAACGGCTCTCACTGAGCTGGGTTATAAGAGGGGCTCAGCAAGCAGGGGGCCAGGAGCCTGGCCATGGCCGGAAGCCACCGATCCCTCAGCCGGGTCCATCCCTTTCTCCTGCTTGCCCTAGTCTTTGGTGGTGAGTGGGGCCCTGTCCGTCAACCAGCACTCTCCTGGCATAGCTGGGGAGACCAAGGCACCCCTTGACTTGGGAGGAAAGAATGAAAACGGAGAAACCTATACATTTTGACTCAGTGTTTCTTCTGTTTTATTTTTTTTTACAAACAGGGTCTCATGTAGCCCAGACTGGCCTTAAACTCACTTTATAGCTGATTGATGACGACTTTGAACTCCTGATCCTCATGCCTCCCCTCCCCAGTCGGAGAATGGCAAGCTTCCATTACCATGCTAGGTTTCTGTGGTACTGCAGAGGGATTCCATGGCTTTGTGCATGCTGTGGAAGCACTCTGCCCACTGAGCAGCAGCCCCTTGATCAGGTTTTCTTAGAAGTCTCTATGACTGGGCCACCCAGAGGCCCGTGCTGCAGGGGATGGATTTCTAGGAATCCAGAAAATTACAGAAGCCGGGTTTAGGCAGAGGCTGAGGCAGATGGATCTCTGAGTTGAAGGACAGCCTGGTCTACAGAGTGAGACACTATCTCAAAACACAAAATAATAACCATAGATTCAAGCCAGGTCCCCCAACTCCTCCCCAGGCACGGGTCTCCCTGAGACCATAGTGCAGATTGCGGCTTTCATGGCCGGGACCTGCAGGCTATGGTCCTGATACCTTTCTCCCCTAGGTGCAGTTCAGGCCTCCCAGATTGTGGGTGGGCACGAGGCTCAGCCCCATTCTCGGCCTTACATGGCGTCCCTGCAGCTGAGCAGGTCCCCTGGGAACCACTTCTGTGGTGGCACTCTGATCCACCGGAGATTCGTGCTGACTGCTGCCCACTGCCTGCAGGACATGTGAGTACAGCATCCAGGAGGCAGTGAGGTTCTGCGGGGCTAAGCTGACAGCACAGCCCTGGCTGCCTGCCTCAGCTCCGCCCCAGTTTTTTCTCCAGGAGACTATACCTAAACAATACATTCCTCTCACCTAGAATCCCCCAGTGAGGGACTGGGGCGTGGTCAGGTGTGAGGCACTCGATAGCATGTGGGAGAGCCTGGGTCCCTTCGACAAACAAAATCCCACAACCCTGGCCCCATAGCCCCTGGCAGCTTGTGACGGTGGTGCTGGGTGCGCACGACCTGCAAAGCCAGGAGCCTGAGCAGCAGAAATTCACCATCACGCAGATCTTCCAGAACAACTACAACCCTGAGGAGAGCCTCAATGACGTGTTGCTTATTCAGGTAGGTTGGGGCTCTGGGAGTTCCGGGGGTTCGTTCCTGCAGAAGACCCCTGTAGGAAGCACCTCCTGTATGCCATGCTGGGACTTGTGGGGCTGGGGTCTGCCTCTCAGCTTCTGCTAGGCTGTGTTTCCTGTCTTAGTTGGTGGCTGGGGTTAGGCCAAGGCTAGGATTAGGGTTGAGGCTAAGTTTTGGTTACTGTTAGGGCCACGGGTAGGTCTAATGTTAGGGTTGGGTTATGATCAGGGTTTTTGTTAGAGGGGAAGCAGGCTGAGTTAGGGTTTGGGTCATGATTGGGGTTAATGGGGGTTGTACAACATTTAACCTCCCCGACTGATACCTTCACTCTACATCATGCTGTACAAATCAACAGCGCTCTCTCTGGAAAATTTGCCTGAAGAGCTGGGACTGTTCACCAACGAGGTTTTGAAGCTCTGTATTCAATTTTTTTTTTTTAAAGCATTTTATTATGTTATGTATATGAGTGCTTTATCTGCATGTGCTCCTTTATTCCGGAAGAGGGCACCAGATCCCACTGTAGATGTTTGTGAGCCACCACGTGGATGCTGGGAATTGAACTCAGGGCCTCTGGAAGAGCAGCCAGTGCTCTTAACCACTGGGCCATCTCCAGCCCCCCCAGTTGTTGCTTTCTAAGTTCTCAGACAGGAGTTCTCTAAGTGCAAAGGCCCGAAGGAAGGAGATGTTAGGTTCCCAGGGTGGCGGGTGGGGACGAGTTCTCACACTTCTTCTCTGCAGCTGAACCGGCCAGCCTCCCTGGGCGAGAAGGTGGCCGTGGCCTCTCTGCCCCAGCAGGGCCAATCGCTGTCCCAGGGCACCCAGTGCCTGGCCATGGGCTGGGGCCGCCTGGGCACCCGCGCGCCCACGCCACGCGTGCTGCAGGAGCTGAACGTCACGGTGGTCACCTTCCTGTGCCGGGAACACAACGTGTGCACGCTGGTGCCACGGCGGGCAGCAGGCGTTTGCTTCGTGAGTGCGGGCTGGGTCGTGGGAGGCGTGGTCTGTGATGGGCGTGGCCTGTGGTGGGGTCTATGGCGGGGCGGGGCCTGTGGGAGAGGCGGTGTCTATGAGGGCGGGGCCTTGGGTGGGGTCGTTGTCCGTGGCGCAGGGGTGCCTCTGGCGGGGGGCGCGGGGCTATCTGGACGGGGATGGGCAGATCCCGGAGGACGGTGGGTCCTGGGGATGCGGATGTTCCGCCTGGGCTAAGGGGAGGCATTGCTCCCGCGTGGGAGAGCCGGGGTCTGGAGCGTAGGTGGGTATGAAGAAGAAAGGCGGGGTCTGAACGTGCCCCACCGCCTGCCTGTCTCACTCTGACCCCGGTCTCTACCCCTCGCTAGCGGCCGCGTGGGGACCGGCCCTGGGCCCCCGCGGTGGAACCCAACAGGAAGCTACAGAATGCCTGCTGGTCGCCCCCGGGGTCCTCCAGGTCGCCTCACCCCGACTGGGTTCTGTCGGCTTGGGACTGATCTCTCTCCTCCGCAGGGAGACTCGGGTGGCCCCTTGATCTGCGACGGCATTCTCCATGGAGTCGACTCTTTCGTGATCCGAGAATGCGCCTCCCTGCAGTTCCCCGATTTCTTCGCCCGGGTGTCCACGTATGTGGACTGGATTCACACGGTGCTGCGGGGCGCTGCGCCCTGAGCTGCCAGACCCCGGCACTCCCTGCAAGCTCCGGCGGGAGCATGTGCAGTGGGAGGTCCTTCCCGGGCTTTTCTCCTGCTGCACCGCCCACGCACCCCTGGAGTGGAGCCAGCTCTGTCCCCATCCCACGCGGCCTCAATAAACCTGACAAGTGTTTAAAAGCCGTCTCGTGCCTGCTTACCCCGTGTGAACCTGGGATGTGGCCAGAGCCTCAGTGTCCGAGGCCGGGGAACCACGTGTGTATGGGAAAGAAGCGGGTGCAGGGGAAGCCAGGCTGATCCCGAACTACAGGGGTGGCATTCAGCACCCCCTGTCGCTTCTCACCTCTGTGCCTCAGTTTCCCCACCTGGATCCGGGACACATCCCAGAACTCGATGAGGAGGTGTGCCCGGTGGGGTTTGATGAAGAGTTCCCCCAGTTCCAGTGGCTCTTTTTACACTGCCGTGGGTGGGCACTGCGCTCCTCGGGCCTGACGGTTGTGTTCCAGTCAAAGCAGATAGGAGGACTTCCTGGTGGAGGAGGCAGGGTGGAAGGCAGTGGGAAGGCCAGGAGCAGGGACCTGGACCCAAGGGGAGGGTCTCAGCGAGGCCAGAACAAGGGGCAAACACAGAAGCGTCGGGCTTTCCCCTGCGGCAGGGAAATGAGCTGGGGCCAGCACAGGGTTACAAGCCAGCCCTGGAGGGGCGAGAGAGGGGGGTGTCGCCACAGTGCCTTCAGAAGTGGCAGGCGGCTGCTCTCTGACTTCTTTTGGTGCTGCCACCTGGGGGCGCTGTGCCGTGTCCACGGGCTTACTCCTCTAGCGCTGCTTTCGCTTTGGGAGACAGTCTCATGTAGCCCAGGCTAGCCTCTAACTCCCTATGTGGCTGAAGATGAACTCGAGCTCCTGTTCTTCTTGCCTCCACCTCCCGAGTGCTGGGATGATAGGTGTGCACCACCAGTCCAAGGCTTGGTGCGCTCCAGCAGAGCATGCGGCCCACTGAACCCCAGCCCCAGCCTCTTTTCAATCCCCTCAACCCCTGCGGAGGGGTTCCCAATGTCTCATCACTGTGTGGGGACTGTTTCTTGTGGAGACTCTAGTGATCTGGGGACACTAAATGAGGTCAAGGAAGAACCCGAGCTGCAGAGGGGCTCCTTCTGGGCCTGAAGTTCCATAGCAGAGGACTGGGAATATGAACCCAAAGGCAAGGTTAACTCTCGCAGCATGGATGAGCATCGTATACAGATGGTGCTCAATAAGTACAGCTGTGGTGAGGCCTGGTCTTCTAATCTGAGATTGTTTGCCCCGAACCCCTTGCCATATGACAAGGGATGGTGTATACATACAGTAGGTACTTACTGTGTGGAAGGAAGGCAGTCCAGTTCGTATGTATCTGAATGAGCCTTGCAAGCAGTGACCAGCTTGAGGGAGGGAGAGGGCAGCTGTCCCTCTAGGATCCTATGGACAGAGGTCTCCAGCCTGGCTGGTGTTGGGCCTTAGCATCTTGGCCACCTGCCCATGTCCGTTGGGTTCCATCCCCCCATGCCCTGTCCTGGAGTTGGGACGTTGGTTTTGCAACAGCTTTGGCTGCAGCTCCTGGAAGAGATGGGAGGGGAGCTGGCCACAGAGTAGGGGGGCTGGGCCCTGGGTCCTGTCTCCATTGTTGGAGGAGAGCATTCCCCCTGTGTGGTTCCAAATTGGAACCCACACTCTGGCCACTGTCAAGGGCAGCAACTCCTTCTCATGGGTGCCCAGGCATTAATGGGGTCAGGTGGGACTGTGTTCCCCATTGTGAGGAGCAATCATCAAATTAGGGGCTAAGGTGCTACAGTGTGCACCCCAAGTTTAAATGACCTGTTGTGCTGGGCATGGTGGCCCATACCTTTAGTCCCAGTGCTGAGGATGCAGAGGCAGGTGGATCTCTGTGAGTTCCAGCCAGCCTGGTCTACAGAGTGAGACTTTGTCTCAAACATACACACATTCACCTGTCACTGGGTGTGTAGAGCCTCCATGTCCCTCAAGTTTTCTGACTTAATTAAGAATCCAGCTATCCATTCTCTGTCACCCCAAGAAAAAGTCATGCTGACACCGAGCCTTTGACAACGCAATGCATTATGTATTGCTGTTATTACCATGCTTAGGTAAATAAGCTGAGGCTGAGGGATTGGCTGGGCCTCAGGGCACCAAACTGGGCCTGGAGATGCACATCTGTTATCCCAGCACTCAGGAGGTGGAGGCAGGGGAATTAAGAGTTTGAGGCCAGCCTGGACTATTTGAGATCCTATTTTATTTTATTTTTGGTTTTTTAGAGACAGGGATTCTCTGTGTCACCTTGGATGTCGTGGATCTCTGTGGACCAGGCTGGTCTTGAACTCACAGAGATCTGCCTTCCTCTACCTCCTGAGTGCTGGGATTAAAGGTGTGAGCCACCTTTGCCCAGCCCTGAGGTCCTGTTTTTTAAAAAAAAAAAAAAAAAGAGAGAGAAAAAAGATGGCTTGCTCAGTTGTCACTGATATTCAGCAGCGTGTATGAAGTTGAGTGGAGACCCTGGGGGGGGCACGCCTCTCCATGCCACCCACATTGTCCTGTCCTCAGGGAGGAAGTGGGGCTGTGACCGGCATGGGGCAATACAACGGCCTCTGGCTGCAGCTATAAGTATGGCTGTTAGGTAGGGCTGTGGAGAGCCACCAGAGCATAGCCCCACCATGACCCCCAGCCCATCATCCAGCCGGCTTCCTGCTTCCATGCTGCTGGCCTTGCTCCTGGGTGGTGAGTGAGGATGGCCACACTGACCTTTGTCATCTCCATTGTCTTTCCTAATTCTCCCAGGGCTTTAGAAAAAGACATGGAATTTTGCAGTGCCCAGAACACTGTAAGGAAAGAAGGGAGGTGCTTGGATCTTCAGTACAGGAGTACCTTGGGCAGGTTCTTGTTCCTCTCTGCCTCAGTTTCCCTCATCAACATTGTGAGTTCTCATTGGGGGTTCAAACAACTTGGTGGCTGGGGCTCATTCTTCCTCCCCGTGTGTCCCTAGGCCCGGTGCTGGCCTCAGAGATTGTGGGTGGCCGGCCAGCCCAGGCACATGCTTGGCCCTTCATGGTGTCCCTGCAGCGGCGTGGAGGTCACTTCTGTGGTGCCACGCTCATCGCCAGGAACTTCCTCATGTCAGCAGCCCACTGTGTGAATGGCCTGTGAGTCCCCTCTTCGTCCCTCTCAATCCTCAGTGTCCACATGGGCCAGACCAGAGAGGTCAGGTGGGGGCTCCCACTCATACTCCTCCCCTCTCCGCTGTCCACAGAAACATCCGGTCAGTGCAGGCAGTGCTGGGAGCTCACAACCTGCGGCGAAAGGAGCCCACTAGACAGATCTTCTCTGTGCAGCGGATCTTCGAGAATGGCTTTGACCCCACTCGTCTGGTGAACGACATTGTGATCATCCAGGTAGGCTTGGGAGTCCGGGAGCCTGAGACTCAGGTGCAAAGGTCTTGGAGTTCAGGCTTGAGAAAGGTGCAGTGCGGAAGGCTCTGGGAGTGGGGAATGGGGCACAGACACAGTGGGGCAACTTCAGTTATTGCCTCTGAGCCTGTTTCCCACTGAGCACAGTGGGAATAGCTGTCCTGTAGGCCTGATGGTGATGGCTCATAAGATCTAATATATGGAAAGTTCAGGGCAGTGTTCAACAAATTCCTGTTATTTGCGCTTCTCTGCTCACTGACTCTGTGACTCTGGGGTACCTGGGGGAAATATTCTTTTTTTGGTTTTTAGGGATAGGGTTTCTCTGTGTAGCTTTGGAGGCTGTCCTGGAACTCACTCTGGAGACCAGGCTGGCCTCGAACTCACAGAGATCTGAATGCCTCTGCCTCCCGAGTGCTGGGATTAAAGGTGTGCACCAGCAACACGCGGCTGGGGGAAATATTCATTTCTTCCTCCAGTTCCTAACCATCCCCACCACTTGGTGGCAGGGTACTAAGCCATTGTCTAAAGTGCCCTGCGACTTCTTCGTGTTCTAAGTCTCTCCCTTACTCACTGTCCCTCACCTCAGCTCAATGGCTCAGCCACCATTAACACCAACGTGCAGGTGGCCCAGCTGCCTGCCCAGGGCCGTGGCGTGGTTAATGGAACTCAATGCCTGGCCATGGGCTGGGGCAGGCTGGGCACGAACCGACCGGCACCCAATGTGCTCCAAGAGCTCAATGTGACCGTGGTGACAAATTTCTGCCGCAACCGTCTGAATGTATGCACGCTGGTGCCACAACGGAGAGCAGGCATCTGCTTTGTAAGTTCCCTTTTGCAGTAGAAGGGATTGTGGTCAGACCCAAGGGATGACTTCCCAGTGCTGGAGCATGAGTAAGGGGGTGCCGAGAGGGCCAGTCTCTGACCTTGACACCTCCTCAGGGGGATTCTGGAGGACCCTTGGTCTGTAACGGGCTTGTCCAAGGCATCGACTCCTTCATCCGCGGAGGCTGTGGGTCTGGATTTTTCCCAGATGCCTTCGCGCCTGTGGCTGAGTTTGCAGACTGGATCAATTCCATTATCCGAAGCCATGACAACCATCCCCATATCCACCCCAGAGACCCTGAGAGCAGCAATGACTAGGACCTGCCTGTCCTCCCAGTGCCGTCAACCTCAAGGGACAGCTCTCAATAAAAGCAGCATTTGCTTTGTTTGCTGGGTCTGGTGTCTGTTGTCAGTGCCACAGAATGTAGAGCAAAGCCACTATCTAATGTGAGGGGCACCTCCTGGGGACTTGGCTACCAAGCTAGGGCAAAGTCACAGCAGGAGACACGTTCCCCACGTTGTACAAAAAGAGATCAGTGAGATGGCCCTTTTGGGCTTCTGTCCCCTAAAACCCATGTTCAGTTAGGTCTCAGAACTAGGAGGCTGAGGCGGGAAGATTGTCATGAATTTAAGGACAGCCCAGGCAACGAGTGAGGCCCTGTCTCAGAAAACACAGAGGGGCTGGAGAGACAGTTCAGCAGTTAAGAGCATCTGCTGCTCCCAAAGGAGACCTCGGTTCCCGAGTGTGGCTCACAATTACCTATAGCTCCTGTTGCAGGGGGCTTGTCCTCTGGACTCTGGACACCAGGCATGCAATACACACCCCCATACACAGAACTAAGAATAATAAAAGTAAATCTACCAAATAAATAAGCTAGGACTGGTAAGGTGGTGCGGTGGGTGAAGGTGCTGGCCACGAAGCCTGAGAGACTGAGTTCAATCTCTGGAATTACCTGGTGGAAGGAGAAAATGGACTCCATCAGCAAGCCACCACATGGCAAATACAATGAAATAAATACAATGAAAATACAATACAATGAAATAAATAAGACACAGATAATAAAAATTAGAGGGGCTGGAGAGATGGCTCAGAAGTTAAGAGCACTGGTTGTTCTTCCAGAGGACCTGAGTTCAATTCCCAGCAACCACATAGTTGCTCTGTAAAGAGATCTGGTGCCCTCTTCTGGCATGTAGGGTTACATGCAGACAGAACACTGTATACATAATAAATAAATAAATCTTGCTGGGCATTGGTGGCGCTCGCCTTTAGCCCAGCACTTGGGAGGCAGAGGCAGGCAGATCTCTGTGAGTTCGAGGCCAGCCTGGTCTCCAGAGCGAGTGCCAGGATAGGCTCCAAAGCTACACAGAGAAACCCTGTCTCGAAGAACCAATAAATAAATCTTTAAATAAAAAATAAAAATTAGAAATGGTTCACTTTCCCATTAGATTGGAGCAGTAGATGCCATAGCTTTGTCCCAGGGGCCCCTAAATGGCCTCCTCTACCCACCCACCCTCCTCCAGCCACACCCCACCCCTGCCGGGACAGAGTTCCAAGTCTGTGGAAGTTCTTCAGGGTTGTTTGCTGAAGTGTCCTATGACTGCCTGACCCTGGGTGGTTGCCATTTTTTTTTTCAATTTCTCGGGGTTCCTTTTTGCACAATTTGGATTTTGTCCTAAAAGGCTTCTGATTTTGTTTTGTCTTGTTATGTTTTGTTTCTGAGACTCTGTAGCCCAAGCTGGCCTCAAACTCACAGAGATCCTCCTGTTTCTGCCTTCCAAGTGCTGGGGTTGAAAGGCCCAATCACCCAGGTGGCTTCTGATTTTATTTTATTTATTTATTTTTGTATCTTAAAAATTAATTTATTTTTTACATTTCAATCCTAGTTCCCCCTCCCTCCTCCTCTGGATCCCCCCACTTCCTCCCCACCCCACCTCCCACCTGTTCCTCAGAGAGGGGAAGGCCTCCCCTAGGAAGTCAACTAAGTCTGTCCCATCATCTCATTGAGGCAGGACCAAGGCACCTCTCCACCCCTACACCCCTGTGTCTAGGCCGAGCAAGGTGTCTCTCCATATAGAATGGGTTCCACTAAGTCAGCTTGTGCATTAGAGTTAGATCTTGGACCCACTGCCAGTGGCCTCATATATTGGCCCAGTCACACCACTGTCATCTATATTAAGGGAGTCTACTTCGGTCTTATGCAGGTTCCCCGTTTGTCAGATGGCTTCTGATTTTAATAAGGGGTTTTGACTTCCCATCTGCAACATTAGCTCACCCCCCAAATCAAGAACTCCCAAATGCTCCAACAGGGATGGTTGTGCTGTGCTCCCATGCTGCTCCCCACTCTCCTTATCCCATCCCATGGATTAGCTTATGGGGCTTGTGACCTAGGCTCAGCCAAACATTATGTTGTTTAACATGAGGATCAGATTTTACAGTGAGGGTCCCTGAACCACAATTGGGAACAGCCTGGTGAGGGGGGGAAACTGAGCCTGGATCAAGCCATACCTGAAGGCAAAATTCACAGGACATTCTTTTACATTTCCTTAGGCTACACTCTGCTGAGGTGTCAGACCCTGACAGCCACAGGGTTCAAGTGCCTACAGGCAAACAGCCTTCTCTCCAAGTTGGAGGAGGAAGTGTGGGAGGGTAAAAAGATGGGGAGATGATTGCCAACTGGCCTCCTGCTGTGGTAATTGCGACAGACACCATGCTGGAAGGACACTTACTGGGCCAGGGTGCTGGGTGCTTCAACCTCCTACCCCTCCCAAGAGGTGCCACCTTCAGGGTGGGCACTGGCCGGAGTCTCAGGCAGGAGAGAGAGGAGGTATTCCACCAACCCCCCACCACCACCCCCACCCCCCTCCATGCACCCAGCCCCTTTATCTAATCCATCCCACAAGGGCCGAAACACTCAAATCTGAAAGCGCAGATTCCCAGTTCCCTAGTTGGGTCTCTGCCCACGAGGCAGGCGGAGGGCGGGAGGCACCTGCCCCATAAAATAGCCCCCTAGGAGCCGCCTGGGTCAGCGTCTGCACTCATTGGCGTCAAAAATGCACAGCTCTGTGTGGCTCGTGGCTCTAGTGGGCCTGGGAGCCGCTGTAGGTGGTGAGTGGACCAGGGAGGGACAGCTGGACACAGCCGCTGGCCGGCACACCAGGGGCCCCCTACAGCCAAACACGCTCTAAACTGAGAATCTGCAATCTGAGCCTCCTGGTCTCTGAGCTTTTATCAACAGCAAGAATCTGAATCTGAAACCTGTAGACTTTATAGACTTAAAGAACTAGAATTCACCTTGGGGCCAGTGAAAGTTTGATCCCCTGGACCCATAGAGTGGAAGAAGGGAAAGGATTCCCTGCAAGTTGCACCACCCACCTGGCTTCTGAGTTTGCAGCCCCTCGGAAGTGTATTTTACGGTGATGGGGTTCTGGTCGAGAGGTTGTGTGTGTGTCGGTGTGTCCGAGCTCTCCCAGACCACCCTAACCCTGACAGCGCGCCCTCCTCCTCAGCAGCGCAGCCCCGAGGCCGGATCCTGGGTGGCCAGGAGGCTAAGGCCCACACTTGGCCCAGCATGGCTTCGGTGCAAGTGAACGGCACACACGTGTGCGGTGGCACCCTGGTGGATGAGCAGTGGGTGCTGAGCGCCGCGCACTGCATGGACGGAGTGTGAGTAGCGAGGATGGGGGCTGAGGGGAGGGAGTGGGGCCTCGGGAAGGGGGACGTGGATCTGAGGTGGGCCCTCTTCCTGGCCCCAGGACGGGGGATGAGATTGTGCAAGTGCTCTTGGGTGCCCACTCCCTGTCGAAGTCGGAACCCTCCAAGCGGCTGTACGACGTGCAAAGAGCAGTGCGTCACCCGAGCAGCCGGCCTGACCGCATCGAGGACGACCTTCTCCTCTTGAAGGTGAGGAAGCTGGGTCCTTCCTACGCCCTGGGCTCCACTCAGAGTCTAGCCTCGACCCTTCCTTCTGCACCGCCACCTCAGTCCATTCCCCAGCCCCGCCCCGCCCCCACCACGATATTGTCCTCCTCCCACCCTTAGCTGTCCCAGAATGTGTCTCTGGGACCCTACGTGAGCCCCCTGCCCTTGCAAAGCGAGGACCGGGACGTGGCCCCTGGAACGCTCTGCGACGTAGCCGGTTGGGGCGTGGTCAGCCACGCGGGGCGCCGGCCCGACGTCCTGCAGAAGCTAACGGTGCCAATCATGGACCGGAACACCTGCAATCTGCGCGTGCATCACGACGGGGTCGTCACCCAGAACATGATTTGTACAGAGAGCAACCGCAGGGACAGCTGCAGGGTGAGTGGCACGGCCCGGGTCCTGTGGCAGGGGGGTGGAGCCCAAGGGTCTGCGGAGGTCGGCGATGGGCGTGGCTCGGGAAGGGGCGTGGCTTGCAGGAAGAGCTGCGTTCAGGAGTCCCCGGAGCTGCTTAAAAGTCAGAGTGGCTTTGGTAGGGGGGGGGCCCGCCGCACAGGGCGACTCTGGCGGCCCCCTGGTGTGCGGGAACAAGGTCGAGGGTGTGGTCGCGTGGGGCTCGCGAGTCTGCGGAAACCGCAAGAAGCCGGGCGTTTTCACCCGCTTGTCGACCTACAAAGACTGGATCGAAAATGTCATGCATGGTAACTGGACTATCTGAGGGGACCCCGAAGACACGTGTCTCACAATAAATGCATGCATCTGAGCCCTGTGTGCGTCTTTTTACTGTTTTTTCCAAGCAGGGTTTCTCTACAGCCGGAGAGCCTACTTGTCCTGGAACTCACGCTGTAGATCAGGCTAGCCTGCCTCTGCCTCCCGAGTGCCACCACCGCCCGGCCTCCCTGTGCGTCTTTATTGAGCGCCTGCTGCACACACACAGCCGGGAGGCTGAAGGCAGGTGGTTCCACGCTCGGCCACACGGAGGCGGGCGTGCTCTTTTGAGTAACGGTGGGGCGGTGCCCACTCCTACTCCACAGAGGTCCTGCTGCACCTAGGACCATCCGTCTGGGCTCGGACAGCATTGCCAAGGCACTCCGAAGTTGACATAAATACTGAAAGGGGAAATTGAGACACGGAGAAGCCACGGACAAAGGCTGAATTCCAACCCAGAGCCCATATTGGTTCACTGAGGAAGTAGTTGATGTCTGCAGCCAGCGCCACGGGGGCTGGAGAGCTTGTGGGTGACAATGGGCAGAACCCAGACCCAAATCCTGTGCCTTTCTACCCCGAGGAGGACAGGGACACTGAGAGGTGTCCTGAGAGGTGAAGTTACTCATGCCCCTGCTAGGAAAGGCAGGAGAACTGGAGTCTATGTCTGAGAGTCTATGTCTGAATTTTGATTCTGCACTTATTGCTCAACAAGCACTCATGGAGCACCTACTGTATGCCCTCCCCAGGCTGGGGCAAAGTAGGCACAGACCTAGGCAAGCCCCAGCTGTGTTCCCTCAGGAGGCTAGTTCAGTACCATTTGTCCCACAATTCCAGAGTGCTTCACACTAAACAAATGACCATGGTGATATCATCCAGCTGCTTCTAGTGTTTTCCCCAGATGGCCTGGCATTCACTAACACGCATGGTCAGCACTCTGTAGGGAATGGATGGGGGCAGCCTCGAAGGGCTGGTGAGGAGGAAGGGAGCTTATTATGGAGGGGGGCTGTCACCACAGTGGACATGCCTCTGGCCACAGGAAGTCAAGGAGAGCTTGAGCAAGGCCAGGATGGCTCACACTGCTGGATTCTGTTGGCAGAGGCAGTACCCTAGAGTCAGGAGTGGGCACCACAGGGAAGTCACAGAATCCTGAAGGGTACACACCAGTCTCCCAGGCTCATCTGGATGTACAGAATGTTCCAGAAGGGTACTGGGATGGGAACACATGCCTGCTATCCCAGCACTCAGGAGGTAGAGACAGTAGGATCAAAAGTTCAAGATTATCTCCAGCTACATAATAAAATGTAGGGGAGTAAAGCTGGTTCCAGGATGGGGGATCCTACCAGGCCCTGTTATCTTGTCTGTGGCTCCTCTCACAAGCTGTGTCAGAGCACGGTGAGGTGGAACATGACCCCTCTGGAGCAGAGGACTTAGGCAGCCCTCCCCAGTCCCAGGTCATGAGTGGCCACTGCCCTGCACTCTGCTCCACAGGGTTCCAAGAAGAAAACAACAAAACCAATTACCAAGATCTTTAAGGCCTGGGTCTTGAGGCTCCTGACTGCAGGGGGCAGATGCAATGGGGAAGCTTGAATCAGGCCGGACCCCTGGGGACCAACAGCAAAGGCTGCTAGAGACCAGGAGATGAGAGGCAGTGGGGAGGGGCAGAGCTCTCTATGGTCCCAGCAATTTCCATCCAAGTGGGCCCCTCAGCACAGAGCCTCACCTGGTGGGTAGAAGTGGTGGGGGCCATCGTGATAGCAAATGCCTGGTGTACAAGAGGACTTTATTGGGCCTGCCTTCCACTCCCATAAGCCCAAAAGGGAAACTGAGGGAGACAATCCCAACCTGGACAGGAGCATATGGACTGTGGCCTTTTGAAGAATGGACCGACACACAGCCAAGCTCCTTCAAGCTGGCCTGGGCGTGACCATGGGACTTAAGGCCCTGGAGGTGGCACAAGCCTTGTACCCCCAAGAAGAGGCAGACCCGGGGTTGTTGGTGGGAGCCAGTGCCTCTGACGAGGACAGCAATGTCAATGTTCCATCACAGAAGGTCCCTGCATCTATTCAGAGCATGGCTGTAACTCAGGGACAGCTGAGGGGCACTCTCCGCCACAGCCCCCCACACAGGCAGTTCTTGATCCACCGTTGTTCCCACTGCTTCACGGCTGTTGCCTTGTTGGGTGACTTCAGCATGGTGACACAGCCACACCTGGGGAGCCAGGGACTGGTGATATTCACCCTCCCACCAACTCCAGAAATACTGTTGCCTGCAGTGATGCCAGCAGGCAAAATGGAGCACCCCAAGCCCTGGCCATCCACACCCCGGGTATGACAGACCATGCCCAAAGGCCTCCTGAAGCTGCCTGGCCCTACAGATCCCAGGCTCTGTCTGCAGCCCAGGCGGGAAGCAGAGGGGACCCTGAGTCTGGCCACAGCCACTCACCTGGTGCAGGCTTTACACTCCTCAGTTGGGTAAGCGCCCAGGTGCAGCCTCCGGAGGTGGTCGATCTTTGGCTGGCCAGGGGCCCTGGGGATGAGAGGGGAGTGAGGGTCTGTGGGGGCTGGGTCCACAATGCCATCTCAGCCAGGGCTCAACCATAAGAAGCAATAGCCGATGGCCTTTTCCTGGTGAGACGGGGCCTTCCTAGAACCTTCCAACCATGGCTGGATATGGGTTGATGAGAACACGTACAAAAAGGAGGGGGCAGAGGCCTCACCATGAGACGGGCATCAGCAAATCCTGAGACCAGCATTGCTTACTGCAGCCTCCACAAATCAGTGAGTGGGAATAAATGAATTCTACACCCAAAGCTGTGCATGAGAGCTGGAGGCAGGAGGATCAGAGTTCAAGGCCACCTTCCTCCCACACTGGGAGTCTGAGGCCAACCTGGGCTACATGAGACAAAAAAAAAAACCAAACACCTCTATGCACACAGCAAAGGTTGGAATGCCAAAGTTCTCTCTAATGGCAGAGACCTGATGAAACAGAACTTGGTCCTTAGACACACCAGGTTCTAGAATATGCTGGAACCCCTGTCTGAGAGAACCTGTGGTGTGGACACTTTCAGGGGCTGCAGGATGATCAAGGCAGGGCAGAGCATGAGGGGAAGGCAGGACGGGCAGGTGAGCACACCTGGCAAGGCCATCCAGCTGCAGAGTGGAGGTGTTGCTTGGCAGAGTAGGTGCCCTGCCGAAGCGCAGGCGCAGGGGCTGTTTGGGTTGCAGGCGGCTGACCAGGCCGTCGCTGGCAGGAAGCCAGTCCAGGCTGGGCACCAGCAGCTGGCTGGGCAGCAAACAGCACTCATCCACCAAGCCCTCATCGGGTTCACTGGCTGGGCCCTCATCACGGCCTGTGGGGAGGGGATGGAGGTCACCACACTCAACAGCCTTCCCAGGAAGCCACTTTGTCACCCACACGGTACCCACAGCCGCCTCCCCAGGGCTCTGTCTGCCCTCTGAATTAGGGACCTGCACCCCAAGCACTAGGGAAATAGTGAGAAGTCTAAACTTTGGTGGTGGGCTAGGCCTGAACTTGTGTTTTGGTGGGAAGCCATGACCAGAGGGCACAAGGTCTCACAGCAGATCCACAGCTTTGTGAGTAGCCGGAAGAGCAGAGACATGCTGTCCTGAGTGTCCGAGGTGGCTGTGTAGACAGGCAGGCAGCTGGGCTTCAGTAGGCCCCAGATACGGATGACAACCATCAACTCTCGCAGCGTGCCCAGAGAGGTACCATCTCGCAGGAAGCTGTGTCCTGGCCTCAGTGGGGAGCCCTGTGGTGGGGACACTGGGGATGAGTGCTGGATATGTGCAGCCCCAGAGATACTGTGAGTGGGTATGGGCCTGTCAGTCACCAGCTAACCCTTGGACCCTGGGTGAGGTCTGGAGGCAGTGTGACCTTCACCACAGGGGGTTACAGTGGGCACGGAGTTGGGGAAGGCCAGAACTATGCTCAGTGCCCTACAGACCAAGAGTGGCTCAGAAATGACCAGTCCAAACCTGGAGAGATGGCTCAGAGGTTAAGAGCACTGGCTGCTTTTCCAGAGGTCATTAGTTCAATTCCCAGCAACCACGTGGTGGCTCACAACCATCTATAATGAGGTCTGGTGCCCTCTTGTGGTGTACAGGAATACATACAGATGGAGCACATATACATTAAAAAAAAAAAAAGCTGGCATTGGTGTCTCATGCCTTTAATCTCAGCACTCAGGAGGCAGAGGCAGGCGGATCTCTGTGAGTTCGAGGCCAGCCTGGTCTCCAGATTGAGTGCCAGGATAGGCTCCAAAGCTACACAGAGACCCCCTGTCTTGAAAAACCAAAGAAAAAAGAAATGACCAGTCCAATGTCTTTGGTGCTGTTAGAGACCTGGTAGACACCCATCAGGCAAGTGTGGCTGGCTTTTTTTTTTTTTAAGATTTTATTTGTTATGTATACAACATTCTGCTTCCATGTATATCTGCACACCAGAAGAGGGCACCAGATCTCATACGGATGGTTGTGAGCCACCATGTAGTTGCTGGGAATTGAACTCAGGACCTCTGGAAGAGCAGTCAGTGCTCTTAACCTCTGAGCCATCTCTCCAGCCCCCTAGTGTGGCTGTCTTAATCTCCCACAGAACCCAGGAAGCCAGTGGCTTAACCTGTGATCCTGCAGCCCAGGCCCTTGAAGGCTCAGATGACCTGGGACAGACAGAGAGGCAGAGTCACCCGCTTCTGGGCCAGGAGCACCGTCAGTGGGAGGCAGCCTCACAGTAACGCTCATGGAAACAGAGGCTGTGGGGGGAGATGGGAGGGAAGCTGAGAGCAGCTGGGGCTCTCCTGGCTGGGCAGGCTGACCAGGAGGCGGGGCTGATGCGGGAGGCGGGCTCACCTGGTTGGGCAGGCTGACCAGGAGGTACAGCACGAAGTCCCCCACCCACTGCAGCAGCTGTTGCAGTGCCTGCAGAGTGTTCATGTCCAGAACAAACTCTTCTGTCTTCAGGTTGATCATGACCTTGTCAATGTCTGTAGGGACAGTGAAGGATGGTCAGGGAACATGGGGGAATGCTG